CAGAGTAACAAAAAAAGGTAAACACCTACATACGTTGTTTATCCGATTTTAATAATTTTTGGCATATAAAGTAATGAACAAAAGTATATAGACAAATTAATATTGTGCTGTATTTCTTTTTTAACTTGTTTTATTCATACACCAACCTGTATACATAATTCGTTATAGCATAATACTCACTTATACATAAATAAATTCATTAGACTCCCTTCAATAAAAAATTAGTTGAAAAAAACCAACCATATTTGTGTTAATATTTTGTAGCATAACCATTGTTATCAATCACCGCCTGGCATCGTCTCGGCATAGATTGTAGATGTTCCTTGATATAAGATTCATCAATCTGTCTCCACTTTTTCTCTAAAGTGGCAAAAAGTTCATCCTTGTTTGAATAATTTTGATCTCATATTTGCTTATCTAAGTATTCCCATAGATTTTTAATGGGATTTATATCGGTAGACTGTGAAGGCCATTTGAGAACTGGTATTTTTTCATCCAGAAAGAATTTCTTTGCGAGATTTGAGGTAGCTTCGGGTCATTATCTTGCTGGAAGATTGATCTTAAGGGCATATTGTCTTCCATATAGGGTAACATGACATGCTTTACTATGTCTGTGTATACAAACTTATCCATAATGTCATCTATTCTATGTAAAGATCCTATCTCAAACCATAACAGACCAGCCTCCATGTTTGACAGTGGGCAAAGAGTACTTGGGGTTCATTCTTTGTCCAATAGGACGTCTAACGTAATGAACACCATCTGATCCAAACATATTGAACTTGGATTCCTCACTGAAAGATACCCTCTTCCAGTCACAGATGCTCCAATCAAGATGCAACCGTGCAAATTGTAATCGGTCCTTACGGTTTTTCCTCGAGATTAGCGGCTTCTTACTCGGGCGATGTGCAAATAACTTCAAATCATTTAACCTTCTACTTATAGTTTTCGTATAAACACTGACAATTCCTTTTGTCTCGATTTCGGCTTTTATTTGTCTTGGGGTTTTAAACGGATCTTTGGACGAAATTACTTTTATTAATCTAACTGATCTAGCATTTAGTTTTCTAGGCAGGCCACTTCTCTTAGAGGCTTCCAAGATACCTTGTTGTTTATATTTGTTCAATATTGCCCAAACTGCTTTATGCTTCAGCTTCAAATTTTTGGCAATGTCGACTTGACGGTGACCATCTTTGTATAACGCAATGATCTTAGTTTTCACATCGAAGAAAATTTCTGGATCATGTGGCATGTCCTTAAAATCACTAAACTTATTCCACAATACTTGATGAACACAAACTAATCCTGTTCTGACACGAAACTGTAATAAACTAATGTTGAAAAGAATTTGTCTACATATTTTTGTCCCTCATAAAAAAGTGCTTATATTCAGACTTGTATTGTGTTCATTGCAGATAATGTAAAAACAAGGAATTTAGTTTTTCTACTAATAACGCATTTGTTTATGGAGCAATGAAGTATGTATTCGTTTTCTAAAGGCATTTAGGTAAATATTCATATTTGTCTATATACTTTTGTCCATTACTGTATGTTCAAGTGTCCCTTACTAGTAAGATGATTAAATTTTCAGCTTGATTCGTCAACTGACTGCAGAAGGTGGTTCAATAATGTGTTGAAGATACACGATTTCTTATACACTCATTGACACGCCTGGGCATTGTGCTGATAAGATGGTGAATATCCTGTTGGGATATCTCATTCCAGGCTACTGCAACTTCGTCTAAATCTAAATCATGTCCCAATTGGAGATTGGTCAGGCGATCGTGGTGGCCAAGGTAAACGGTTGATGCGATGTTGATCCATGAAGGCTAACGATTCTCTGGCAACATGCAGTCTGGCATTGTCTTGCTGAAAAATCGGGTTTTGGATGATGTTTAGGAATGGAATGGAGATGAGGCTTCCTGAATATAACGACCACCTGATTCCATTCCCAGTCCCATATAATTCTTTCTCTGCACCAGAGCAAATGGTTACCCCCATGTTCAGGTGTGAGAGGTAGCACATAATGTGACTGAAAAAATGCCAAACTGTCGTATTCGGCGATATACCCTGCGCATGCCAACCATCCTTTCCTGCTCCTTAAACCACTGATTAGCGATGGGTCAAGTACTACTGAATGTCTCTCAGAGCCAGAAGTCTTAACCGGCAGTCTTGTCACTGTGGTCCCTCTGGGATGTCCAGAATCCCTCTCTCGCTGTCCGTCACTGCAATATACTGCGTAAGGATCTGTTGGTCATCCTAGAAACTTCTCTTATCCATAGACCGGCTTCATGCATCTCTACAATTTGACCCCTCTCAAAGTCACTTAACTGGGACACCCGGCTAATTCTACTCACTCTAGGCATTTTGAGCAATCACAAGAAGGCTTCTCAATCAGCTTCACGAAATTTAACATTTAACTGACACCCTAAATGTACGAAAACTGAATGCTTCTCTATCATCAAACAATACAAACAGCCACCACAAAGACTTGACAGGAAAACCTGACCATTTTATCACTTGTTGTTCATGACAAGATAAATCGATATGTAAAAAATTCTTGAATTCTGAAAAACATAGTAAGTGTTTACCTTTTTAAAAATTGAATGTAACAAGCACCGCATTTATATATTGTCAGCTGATGATTCTATTTGACTTTAAAAATTATGTCACTCATTTTGAGAATGCTGTTTTTGGCGCGGTAATACCGTTGTCAATGTGACAACTGTGGATATGAAATTTTTTTAAACTGTCACAAATTAGTAGATAAATCTGGTCCAACAGCAGTTTGGATAATTTCTTAGTGAATTTTGATAAGGATTTTAATGTATCTGTTGTGGATCACTGTTTGTCTGACCATTACTGTATAATCCTCAATATCCAGGTATCTAAAGTGCAGTGCAACGAAGCGAATAAGTATTCAAATATTCGAGAAATTTCTGAACAGAATATACAAAACTTCAGACTAAAATTGAGTCAAGAAAGCTGGTTGGAAATGTACCAACAGTTTTATATGGAAAGCGCTTGTGATACATTCTTTAACATCCTCTTGTATCATTTCAATGTTTCATTTCCTTATAGAAGAATATGCCTTGAAAGACAGAAGAAAGTGGTTCTGCCAGTCAAGTTAGTAGAACTGAGAGACAGAGTTACATTATGTCATTTTTTGGCAAAAGCTGATGGCAGGTACAAAGAACTTAGTAAACAAGTTACAAAAACTTATAGAGAACAACTTAGTAAATATAGGCAACAATGTATAGATTCTAAAATCGATTCCTCAAGCAATCATAGTAAATGCATGTGGCAGATTATTAATAACATACAAAAAAAAAAGATCTTAAGAAAACTATAAACATAACTAAGGATGGTGAACAAGTACCAGATCAAATTTAAGCAATCAAATTTAATGAGCATTTTACATTAGATGTGAAAAACCATACTGCCGATAAGAACTTTTCCAGTACTACAATTAAAATGCTTTCTAGTCTAATGTATCGTGGAGATCTGTTCGGCTTTAGCATCCTTATTAATCTTTCTTGTGAACAGGGAACTTTTACAAGTTGCTTGAAACTAGCCTTGGTTATACCTTTCTACAAATGGAATGACCCAAATGACTATGCCAATTATAGAGGCATTAGCTTGCTTTCAAGTATATCTAAGGTGTTTGAACTCAACATGAAGAATCAACTAGTGGATTTTTGTAGCAAAAATAATTTTATATTAGATAGTCAGCATGGATTTATTAGTAAAAGAAGCACTGAAACTGCATTGTATAGTTTTGTAGAACGTATTGTGACTGCACTAGATCATAAAAAACATATATGTGGTTTATTCATAGATTTGTCTCGTGCATTCGATCATGTGGACCATGAGCTACTATTTTTTTTCAAACTGCACAGGAATGGAATATCTGGCTTGCCATTGCAGCTGTTTCGCTTACACAAAGAAAACTACGCGTTTGGGTCACCGGTACCAAAAGTGAAACATCAGAAGCAAACATATAGGTGTGCCACAGGTTCAATTCTAGAACCATTTTCGTTTCTGTTGTATGCTAATGATTTGTCCGACTTTATATCTGAAGGTGGTCCAGAATATAAGGTTGTGGCATATGCAGATGACACCAATATCTTGGTTACCAGTCCAAACATCACTGAGCTGCCGGAAATGACTGAGAGAGCAATTAACAGAATCATTAAATGGTCTGAAAATAACTTCCTCCGAGTAAACACAGAGAAGACCAGCATTGTGAAATTCGCATTAAAAGATGAACAAGACTTCAACATTTTTGATCATACTAACAGAGGTATTCCATCATCTAATTCAGTTAACGTGCTGGGGATGATACTTGATTGTCGAATGTCGTGGGGGTTCCACATTGAGTATTTGTGTAATAGATTGCGAAGGAGTTGTTAAGGCTTGAAATGCTTAGCAAAGCAGTGCAGTAAACGAATTTTAAAAACTTTATACTATGCCACTGTCAACTGCCATTTATCTGTATTATCAATTGGGGAAGTGGTTCACTAATTGAAAGAGTTCACCTGCTGCAAAAATATGCCATTAGAATTATTGATAACCTTGGTTGGTGCCAATCCTGTAGAGAATCCTTTAGAACACTAAAGATGTTGACTGTTATAGGTATTTACATTATGAGTTCGCTCTGTTTGTTTTCAAAAATAAGTGCGAATTTGAAGTCATCAAACACCAGCATGAATATTCAACTAGGTCTAAGATGCTTTTAATCCCACCCAGACATAGAACTACAGCATACCAAAAAACAAGCAGTCAAATAAAGCTGTTTGCAAAAGAAAACTAAAACTTTTTTTGATAGACAAATGTTTCTACACCTTGGATGAGTTTTTTGTTTAGATCTATGTTTTTATACTTTTTCAACTCCTCACCACTATTTTTATGACCTTGTCATTTGTTATAGAATTTTCTGTTCTATTCAACAATGAAATAAATTATTATTATTATTATTATTAATTACCAGCAAGTATGAGATTTCATATATTCAAGTTTTTACCAATAATATTTGTCCAACTAATTGTACTGACTGGGCACTGACACATTCACCATACCATCTTGTTACACTTGAGTTGCAATTTTCTACAAAATTAGTAATTATTCATGTATGCAATACTTACTGAAAACCCAACCACTGCCTTTCAAAGGTACTGTTCCATCTGTGTGTTTTACACAGGCCACAACATCATCACCACATATATCGAGGGGTAATTTATCACACAGATTAAAATGCACTTCGACATTATTTTTTTGATTGGTTCTCTGCAATTTGCTATAAAAAAATCATTATAATGCAATGGTACATGGACACGGTTTGGTAGAAAACTTACTTTGGAAAAAAGAAATTTTCTGTTCCAGAAGTGAAGCTGCATGTAGAGGCATCATCCAATACCAATGGACCAGCGCCAGCATAAACACTGGTTAGGAATATGAGCAAAACAATATATAGAGACCAATGCGAACCACACTCAAGACATTTTGCCATCTGTAATGAATCTCCGATATTATTATAATAAGACCGCAAAAGATGAACGGCAGTTTTGTATACCTTTAGGTTTCTAGACCCAAAACTGTACTGCACTCAGTAGTGTACCTCAATTGAAACTGGGTCTCTGCGAAAGTCTGATTGCTTATTATAACATCATTAATTTAATATATATGGCTAGATATTAACTTGATTTTACTTTTTTTTACAGTGATGGAGATCCCAAACCTGCAGATGGAGAACAATCCCACAATCCGCACCACCAAAACAACACAACCACAACCTCCTACGACAAACGACAATTATCTTTCCACCAGAAACCGCAAGGAACAAAATGTTAGGTTAAAAATAAGTGTAGGTCTACACTGGGTGAAACTATCTACACAACCGGATACAGGAATAGTCCGGTGAATCCGTTTCCGTGGTGCATTCTTGATAGTTTCGTCGTAAAATTAAGCATCTAATCCGTGTATTTAATGACAATATATAATAATTTCAACGCTTTATGGGCGGATTTAGAGGGGCGTGCGCCCTCCAAGAATGCCATGATTTTTTTTCAATAAAATGGTATTCCTATATCTTGGTGGAAAAATTACTCTGCTAAACCCCCCCCAGGTCCCCCTCCCTAAACGTATCCCAGCTCCCACTCTTAGACTGCATTCGATTTGAGCAGCCCTGATTAAAAGCATCCCCCCCCCCCCCCTCCGAGACGAACATCCTCTTATCTTCCAGGATATGAACCAGAACTGCATTGTGACTGAGGCCCTCCATAGACAGATGCCTAAATCCGCCCCAGTAACTCTTACCACAAATCTCTACACAGGTGGCCAAACATCCATATGTAAGTAGGGCTTAACGATCGTACGAGAACATGACTATTTATATTTATGTATATTAAAGTCGGCGTATTACGGGAATTACCAAAAGCTATGGTAGTCCATACATCATAACCCATAACCACTGTGAAATAAACCTCAATATTTTGAGATCTTACTTTGTCGTTGTAAATGCTTTATTTGGGATATTGGAGTTGGAAAACGCACATCGTTTATATGTAGGCGTAGAAGACAGATCATTATTTTTTCCTACCTGACGTAGGGGTAGTTTACACCCTCGGAACATAGGCAGCTTTTTATATCTCCCACCCAGTTAGAAACAGAGTTACAGGCTAAAAATAAATGAATACTGTTTTACGAGTAGCTATTTGGTCACTTCTTCGGACACGTCAAAGGGGGGTGGACTTCAACCTTTGAACGTTAGAATGTGTTTTTTAACCTAGCCAGAAATAAAGTTACAGGCCAAAAATGAATCAAAGGTGTTTCTTTCATACGTAGGTATAAGCACATCCTCTTCGGAGCCGTCGAAGTGGTTGATTTCACCTCTTGAATGTCATAAATGCGGTTATTTGCATTTCTCACCTAACCAGAAAACAGATACAGGCTAAAAATGAATAAGGAATGTTCCGATCATTAGTAGCTGTAAGGTATGTAGATCCCATCTTCTTCGAACCCGTCGATGGTGTTTATATCACCCCTTAAACGTGAAAAATGTGTTTTTTTCACCTAGCCAAAAATTAAGTTACAGGCTAAAAAGGAAGCGAAAGTGTTCCTTTCATTGGTATAATTAAGGCCAAATAGATCTCATCTTTTTTGGACCCGTCGAACGTGTTGACATCACCCCTTGAACGTGAAAAATGTGTTTTTTGCATTAAAAGTCTATCCAGAAATAAAGTTACAAGCTGACAATGAATCAATAGTGTTCCTTTCATTAGTAGCGATAAGGCCATGTAGATTCCATCGCTGGTGGCATATCAAATCTCTTACAAACAGATACAGTACTCTTGAAAACTATACAAGATTCAATGTTGAATCTTTAAATAATGTATTATGGATTAATAACGAGCATTTTGCCTAATTTTTAAGACGGTCAGTTCGCTACAATTGGTTGATATTTGTTTACTGTTTTTTCGTTTTCTCGAGTTTATTTTCCAACATTTTGAATTCGCAGTCCTTTTAATCGAACGAGATTTCGAAAAAAGACGTATACTATATTAATACTTTTAGAAAAAAGTCTAGGGAATTATATTTCTTCATAAAGAAACTGGATTACATGACCTACTTATTTGACAAGGTCATGCAGGCATCAATAATGAAGCCATTTAGCACATGCTACATACTAACTAGTCTAAGACAGTTTGAAACATCATTGTGTCAGTATGAAATATATTTTTTTTATAAACTTTAAGGCTCATCTGTGATCGTCTAAAAATGTCAGTTGTAAATATGTATGCACAAGAGTATGAAGAAATTTTGAAAAAAAATATTTTCTTCGTAACAAAAGGTGATAGACACATCCGCTGGTCAGTTACTCACTTATATGAATTTGTTTATAAGAAAAAATATAACCCTTCGTTTTTTGCATAAAAATAATTACCTTTGGGAATGGTTTGTGATTCACGTCGGCAAGGTAAATTCTTGTATTTTGCTATAAAATGTCCTTTAAAAGAACTCTGTATACTGCTCAGTAAGCTAGTAGTGATGGTCGGAAGACAGGTGTGTTGGGATAAACAATTAGAAATTCTCAAAAAGTACTTGACCAATCGACTCCAATTTTGTTGCGGTTATTGAGAGGTATGAAGACTACGGATTTGAAGAATTTCAAGTAGCTGCGTGAAATTATCGTCGGATTAGCAACAAGTGCTAAAACCTGCATTTTGCCTCGGTTTTCGGTCATAACTTTTTTACTATTAGTCGGATCTTTTTACGTATGGTCTCATTCTTTAGGACTCATAAATAACTAAAAATCTTATTTAAAGAGTTTTGTCGTTCATGCCAACGCTTTCAATTGAATCCCAAAAAACACGTTTTCTTATTCGTTATTGTCGAATAAAAAGTTTTCCTGCAAACATCGGTGTGCCCATTTTATGCGTCCATATTTCAAATACCTCCTTGAACAACTTGCATCAATAAAACCCGACTTTACAATTATTACGGTTAAATTTGCTCATATGATTAGACTAAAGGGCGGGTCATACGGATTCATCAATTTGTATGCATGTAGTAACAAAATATTTCTGGAGAAAGTTTGTGATTGGATATCATTGAAAATACCGGTTTTGCAATAAGATATTCGATAGCAGAGCACAGTGTATGGCCATTTAAAGCTCGCACTTGTTTAAAAACTCGGAGCATCAACACTAAGCTTTTGCACATCCAGCATAACCAGGAAAGTACAACGTTGCACTCAAAGATTAGATTTTTGTCTGAGAACGCGATACAGTGATGCTGATGCATATACGAATGTGCAGTTTTTGCAATCGGTAAAGATCCAAATCCGATATGCGTATAAGCTCACGCGTGACTAATATGGGAAAGTAAACTGAACAAGACAAAATAAATATTGTTTTACATAGTTCTGTGGGGTCTTGAAAATATTGTAACGTAGCACTAGTTTCATCGGCTCATGTACGATATATGAGTTGTATATTGCTTTGAAATTTTAAATTTGATTAATTAAGTGTTCTCGCCCTGTCGACTCTCCGAAAAGTTCCCACGACCCTCTCTGCTTTTCCGTTAAAAACAAACAAAACACATATCAGATGTAAACAACTTGAAACCAATAGCCATAAATACATTGTCGCACTTTGAGGGATCGATAACATGCGTAAAATACGCCTTTTTGCAATAACAGTTTTTGTGAGTATTGCAAAATTTGAATAACGCGAATTTATTTATTGCGGTTTCAAAAAACGGAAGAAGAATCTTGTGATTGTCGCTATCGCCTTTTTCGAGAGATCTTTGAATAAGACATTCCACCGTTTGTGATTTAGACTATAAAAATACAATGAATACTCGTTCATACACGATGCCGACAAGGTATATGAACATCTACTGGAGGCTTCAAAAAGATGGAAAAAAGCGTTGGCGATTGGTTTGTTTGACAGACATCGTAAATTTACTTCAAGTGTATGTCGCATGAAAGCTTATAATATTTCATTTTTTCAAAATTTTCAAATTAGGTTTACATCATCTTATTGAGCTACCGGAGTGGTTAAAGATGCATGAATCTGACTCATTTTCGTAGCATATAAATATACTAAGTGACATATAAATCCGAACACCCAGTTTAAATGGTTTTATTTTAATAAAAGTTGGTGAATGTATTTATCTTACTGTAAATAACAAGTGAACAAATTTTCAGCCTTATCAGTTGGACATTCCGGTTTTTATACTGCTTTTTTTTAATTCACTAACGCTCTAAAAATGAATATTTCAGCCGCAGTAAAGAATCAACGTTGGCGGATTTTGGTTCTTGACATCCTTTACGATCGGTTACGATGCCTAGAGTACGGAGACCTGAAGAAGTGTAGACACTGTGGTTAGGTGTTGTCAGGCATGGCTTCGAGAAGGCCGTACGCAAAGAGCAAGGGGCACTGGGCGCCGCCGTAGAACAACAGACCGTGAAGATCGCCGCCTAAGATTATTGGCCTTAAGGGATCGCTTCTCCACTACCAGGTCCATTGCAAATGAATGGTTTGCAGAACATGGAAGACCTAATGGCATGCGAAGTGTTTACCGACGAATGAGAAGTTTTGGCTTGTTTTCATACCGGCCACACTGGGTCCTCTGGGATCAGGAATGGAACAGTATTGTCTTTAGTGACGAGTCTCGATTTTGTTTAGGCATGTATGATGGTCGTGCCAGGGTTAGAAGGCGACGTGGTGAAAGGAGGAATCCACAGTTTTTTGTTGAAAGACATGTTCATCACACTGTTGGAGTTATGGTTTGGGGTGCTATAGCTTATGGTTCCAGGTCACCTTTAATCTTCATCAGAGGTAACATGAACGCGCAGCGTTATATCCACGAAGTTCTAGAACCCCATCTTTTACCCTATCTTGACACCCTGGCAGATCCAACTTTCCAACAAGATAATGCCCGACCACATGTTGCAAGAGTCACAATAGACTTCTTTCAACATAATGATGTCACATTGTTACCATGGCCACCAAGATCTCCCGACTTATCCCCAATTGAGCACGTGTGGGATATGATGGGTAGGCGATTGCTCAATTTGTAACGTCCTCCTCGTACTCTAGAAGCACTTCGAGAGGAGTTAGTGGTTGCCTGGAATGAGATACCACAGGAGGACATTGACCACCTGATCAGAAGTATGCCTAGGCGCGTTGGAGAATGCGTAGCACATCAGGGTGCATCCACACATTATTAAAGGTCAAAAGCAGTGCAATCATTTTGAAATTTTTATCATTTACTTATTATGCTTCATTAAGTACTTATACAAAATTTTATTAAACTAAAACCATTTAAACTGGGTGTTCGGATTTATATGTCACTTAGTATACTTTGTGTAATTAAATTGACCTAATACAACCATAACAGCCACAAAAATATTACACACAATTACAGCTTAGCAGCCCAGAACTCCTAATATGTAGAAGTTCCGTATTGCACTCCTGCTGAACTTCACGGTCATATCAAAGACCTTAAGGTACGCAAAGCACCGGAAGGGGATCAAATGACCAATAAGGCACTGAAACTTTTGTCTCCGAGGGCTTTGACAT